TTCTTTCTAGCTGACCAAATGGGATAGCTCCTAAAGCAAATGGAGAGGGAGGCAAAGAATCCAGTGTCACCTCTGGACAGGACTCCCAGGGTCTCAACTACACAAACTAGAATGAGCTTCTCTTTACTCTTATATGTAGAGCCAGGCCTCAACTATATCTGAACTTTGCTTACTCTTGAAATAAATTTAAGATTTTAAATGAAGGGTAGGGCATACTAGGATGGAAACAATCTCACGGAACTTCCCAGACCCTCAGGGATACTAAACTCCAAGCCCAGCTCCTTGTCCACCAATACTGGCAGACCTGCAATGACTATGGATTCCTGATGGGGAAGTGACCTTCAAGACTGAGAGATGTTTCTGTGATCTTCCAAGGGCTGGCAGGGTAATAGCTGTTCCCTCTGGGACAGTTAAGCCTCCTTCTTTCTTTCACCAGTGGGCCTGGGATGGTCTCTGGATCTCCATGTTTTCTTTTTTCTTGAATTGTTTTCTTAATTGATTATCATCAGACATGGGTTTGGGGTCAGCCTGGGGAAGGCGGGATCAACCTTGTGCCCACCCAAGTAGAGCTCCCTCCCCCTCCTCCCCAACCCTAGCAGCCGCTTGCTCTCCATGTTTTCTTAATAAGGCTTCCCAGCTGCCCCTGCAGATCAGTGGAGAAGGGAAATGTTACAGCTAGAGCCATCAGGGCTGGTGTCTTTGGCATGCCTCCAGTGACTGGCGCTTTTCTGTTTTCTCTGGGGGGTCCTCTCCCTTAAATGGCCTTAGGTCCTGTTTTATCCCACTCTCTAAATGATAAAAATTTATATTCTTAGAGCCAGAACAGCTTTGATTTCTTTATCAATGATTATCCAAATGTTGAAACTTGTTTAATACAAAGAATGAATCAGCTTCAATTCCATCCAAGGACTTCCCTGACTTTCAAGCAGCCTGATTTTCCAGCTGAATCATGACAAATAAATGAGTGCCTATTCCGTTGTTATTCCAGGCACTGCTTCGGAAAGGAAAAAAATAGATAAAGAGGCCATGAACATTCCATCGACACAGCAGCCCCCATGGGCTGACACAGAGGTCTCTAGGTCACATACTCAGAGTCCAGTCTAGGAGACCCCACATGCTGAGCCATCTCAGTTCCTGGGGAGTTGGATAAGCACAAACAGCACTGGGTGTTCTGTCTCCTCCATAGATGCTAAGTGATCCTTCAGCTGAGTTCTAGACAATTGTCAGTCTCTTTGAATAAACAGTAGCTTACCAGACTCCTAAATCCCAACCCCTGTTCCTCCAGAACCAGGCTGGGAGTCCGACTTGCTGGGCTTGTTCTGAATCATCTGAGGAAAGAAAAGAACAATAGACTAAGGTTATCTTGTGATTAAAATGTGGATCCTTTTTCTGCCTACAGAGATCCAAGGGAGTCTATCTATAGTCAGGGGTGGTATTTGCCCTGCTTTTCTCTTGGAAAATATTTCTCGAAGGAGGTACAGACTCCCTCCTCATCCCCAAATATGCTCTTTTTTAGAACCTTTTGGAGAAGTAGCAGTGTTGTCCTTTTGGTTGATGTCTGTTTGTAAGACACTGGTTTCAGTCACTGTTTTTTCAAAAATGGTCTTGTTTTATTTTTGAATCCCACCCAGCAGTTCTCAGGACTTATTCCTGGCTCTGTACTCAGGGATCATTCCTGAAAGAACTCAGGAGACTATATGGGATAACAGAAACTGATCCTGGGTTGGCCACCTACAAGGTAAATGCCCTACCCACTGTCCTATTGCTCCAGTCCCATGTTTCAGGTACTTCTCTTGTAACAGTGAGCTTTTGCTTAGTAACAAGCAACCGTGACACACAGAAGTTTTTATATGATTGAAGAAGCATTTATTAACTTTGGGGCTGTGGATTAATAGTCGCTTCTATTAGGCTTTGCTTGGCTCTTTCACACCATAGTGTCCATTTGTCCTTTTGGTTGGAAACTAGTTTACTACAAGCTTTCAGTGGAAACCTCTCAAGATTGTTATCTAGCGCAGGCAGTCATTCCCAGTTCTTTCTTGGTGGTTCACCTTGAAAGGGCAACACTTCATATACAAACTCTTTTAAACCTCTTCATGATTTTCTCTTGACAATGTTCATTGACCAAAGCAAGTTATATGGCCAAACCATTAGTTCAGGGTGTGGCATGCCTTTCTAGGATAAAGATGTTAGGATTCGATTCTGAGGGAAGGGAAACATTTGTTGACATTCTTTGCAATGCTCTTGTTATATCTGTATTTCATACAGGGCCCCTTGAATCCTGTGGTTTTGAGCTATATAAATTTATGCATAGATGCATCCCTGCATACCTAATACAGTTTTGCTCAAAACCTAGTGTGGTGGACACTGTCAACCAGTATCACATAAGCCCACAATAGAGCTGGACTTGAAAGCTGTACCAAGTGCCAGTCCATGGCCCCATCCTGCCTCCTATGCTCTGTCCCATGAGGATGCTGAGCCAGCCAAACCTCAGCAGCCTCTGTGGATGCAGATACTACAAATCTTGGTACACTCTGCCTAGACTCTATCTTGAGAACACCTTACCACATTTCTAGTCCCTGCTGCTCCTTCTCTAACCCAACATACAGGGGCAGTTTCATGTCTGGGACTATATGATGTTGTATGCAATTTAAAAACTCCTCAACACAAGTAAGCAAAACTAGTAGGTAATAATGAATGAGTAGGTAATAATGGCTATATTATTGAGGCAACAATTGGATGCAAGTTAGACGTTCTCAATATCTTCCATTTAACTCAGGCTTCTGCAGAGCTGAAGGTTCTGAAATCCATTGTTCACAACACTCACATTTTAAATGCCTAACAGTGTTTCTATCCCACCTGCCACCATCCTAAGTGTCAGGGTTTGCAGGAGCATGAAGGTCTGAGCTGAGATTCAAGAATCCTCGGGCCAGTCTGGCCACAATTTTAGCCCATGAACCTGAGATCAAGAGACACTCTGCTGCTATTGTCCCTGAAGCCTCTGGCACCTTGTTGACTACATCCAGGCTCCTGACTATTCCGCATGGCATGCACTCTCATCCTTCCCAGGAGACATAGCATCAGGTAGCAGCAATGGAGGGCCCCATTCTTTGCAATCCTCATACTCAGAAGTCCTCTGTGTTACCCATGGCAGCAGAAAGACTGGGCTAAAATTCATGGAGAACCTCCAGAAGTGCCAGCTGCCTGAAAAAATATAGAGAGATAGTTTGCCGCATCTGGATTCATTTTTCCCAGCTTCTTGACAGGGACTAGGCACTGGTCTGAGACAGTTTAAGTGGATCTGCACAACTGATGGCCTATACTACCTTTTCACTCAAAAGTCTAGGCATAGTCCATCACCCTGCATGTGGACAGGTGGAATTCTATGGGCTCCAACTGGAATTAGCCCCTGGACATTTGTCCAATTCTATTTCTTCACAGAGTGAAAACCTCTCTTACCCATAAAGTGAATTCTGTGACACAACCATACCCAGAACAGGGAAGATTTGCATTGGATTGTCTTGGATAGAAAGTACTGATGGTTCCTTCAATTGGAGAGAAGTCCTGGGTTCAGCCCCCACATGGTCAGAAATCCTCAAGTCTAGCTGGTCTGGTAGCTACTCTTTCAGAAGGCTAAGTGGGAGTGGCCATAACCTCACCATCTTCTGGCAGAGTAGGACCTTCTGTATTTCTCCTCTAGGGGCAGAGCTCTAGTCCAGCTGGCTGGGCAGGGTGAATGGGAAGAGGCCACTAGCTGTAGAATGTGGCTGGTAATAACTTCCACCAGGAAGGCAACTCTATGCAAGTGAGCACTGCTGATCCCAGGATTTGGGAATCCATTTCCCAGTGGTTTCAGAACTTGAAAGAAGCATTCTGCCTTTTACATGTTAACTTAGAAAAATATCAGACTGTCATTAAAAGTACAAGAAAATATTTATCTGAGAATTGACATCATGATTAGAATACAAATAAGGGGTGTCCTGGTGTTCCGCTAGGAACAAGCCAGAGGGATATTTTAAAGGACCCAGCAGGAAAGTGGTCTGACTACTCGGGCCATTGATGGAATGTTGGGTTGGTTTTTGATAGGTACCTTAAGAAATTGGTGAAGTGGGGGATTTGGTAACAATGAGTGAGAGTCCTCCATATCTCTCTCTTAATGATAGTGAAAACTATCCTTGGTGTCTTTCTACTAATCTCCAGGAGTTGTCAGGTTTCTTACTTCTCACCTAGAAATTATACTGTGGCAGTTGGAGACAAAATGGATTTGACTCAAACTAATGGTTTCTCAGTGAGCTTTTCCGCAAATGCATGCAGCCACCCAATACTAGGGAAACTCTGCTGAAAAATGAGGAGGCGGGTAAAAATCCCAATGGAAGCAGGATAAAAGCACATGCTTCTGGTCAGAAGGTCACACATTGGAGAAGCAGGTCGGTGACTTGGAAGTCATTCCTTGGGAACACTAGGAGTAGAATCTACCAACCAATGACCTCTGAACTTCCACTGGCATCCTGAAGGTTGAGTGATAGCATGCGAAAAGAATGCTCAGAACTGGAACCATGAAAATGGGAACTTGTGAAGGCTAAGTTTTGCAGCCCAGGCAGGTTCCAGAGAGGAAGTGGGAGAGATAAAATTGAGTTGAATCATGGAGTATCCCATTGAGTTCATGGAGGAAGAAAGCTTGGCCTCTAATATTGAAGATGCTTTGCATTGTAGGGTGGGGAAAAAGCATATTGTCATTTCAGCATATAGAGCTGAAATGATGACTTAGAACTACACCCTCCTCCAGGTCATGGTCACTTTGAATCTGACCACAGTGAAATTCTCAGATTTGTTATCAGCAGATAACAAGCAGCAGAAACATACTTTCTTTATGCTGGGATGCAACCAGCTGCTGTGGTGCTCCCAAGGGCCTGAAAGGGAGAAGTCTCATTTCCCAGGATTGTTCATCAGCCTCAAATTATGGAGGATCTGGCTAACCATTCCCTTTTTCTTATCCCCTGTAGGCACTGATCCTAGCTACACCACAGACCCCCTCCTGTCCCTGTTCCTGCTAGCTCTGCATAAGTTCCTTCGCCTGCTTCTGGGGCACTAATGTCACAGCTGATCGCTCACCCCTGTGGGGATTCCAGGCCTGCTAGACCCTGGAAGAGGACCACAGCGCCAGAAGGACATACACAGACTGAGAGAAGCATGAAGAGTCCACATGGAAAATAAATCAATCATATTTTTTGGAAGATAAAAAATGTAGAACAACTAAAAAAAATGCATCTAGTTTCCAAGTAAGATGGAGTTTGGCCCATGCATTCTGCATGGGATCAGTGATTTCTCTACTTCTAGGTATTTTTATTTTCTAAACTTTTCCTCTAAATCTTCATTTTGCACGAACTGTTGAGCAGTTATCTTTAGGATACCATGTAAAAATGTTGGATCAAAGCCTTTCTGACAAAGCAAAATATTTTTAGCAAATTATGTGTTTCGGGATTTTTTAATTTACCTTTTTTCTTTGGGGGATTTTCTTTTTTATTGAAGTAAATTATTTCGTTTGAGACATTTTGATTAAAAAAGACACATCATAATTAAAAATTCACTGTCAATAATATTTATTTTTAAATAAAGATTGGAAACAAGGTCAGACACTTGTTTATAAACTATTGTATATTGATAAATAACAGTTGAATAAAGAATGACTTTGAAATATCCTTTCTATAGGCATGCATGCATACATACATACATCCATGTTAAACCTTAAGGCCTATTGCAGCCCAAATGTCTTAATCTCTCGTTCTTGGCCAGATGATGCCTAACTAAGACACAGTGCACAGCACTGTAAGTAGTCAGGACATCTATGTAGCCTTCTGGGACTTCATCGAGGCTGGAGTTAGAGGCACCCTCCATTGGGATCATTCAAGGAAGAGGTCATTGGGAGAAGTGTGATGTAAATCAGACCTATTCTTTCCCCTTGTCCTTAGAACCCAACTGTAAATGAATTTATTCCTCACAGATGAGACATTTAGGTTCATTTGCAGTTATTGGATTTACTACTACTTTGAATTGCTGAAAGATGCTATTTCTACAGTATTTTCATGTATCTTGACATTTCTGATTCTCTGCAATGCATGCATTTTGCTCAGATTACATGTCTTGAAGAAGGAGACCTACCTTGGGGCTATCATTCTTCATTCTATAATAGATTTGTATGAAGTAACAAGATCTCTCTTTTTTTTTTTTTTGCTTTCTGGGTCGGGTTCAGCATTGCTCAGGGGTTACTCCTGGCTCTACACAAAGGAATTACTCCTGGCACTGCTTGGGATACCATATAGGATGCCGGGGATTGAACCCGTGTTGGCTGAATGCAAAGCAAACGCCCTACCTGCTGTACTATCACTCTGGCCCCAAGTAGCAGGAGCTTGTGATGCACATAAATAATAGATTTTTTAAAAAATTGTCATTTTGTAAAATAGTTTTAATTAAAGAAATTTACTTAGATAAGTTTGAAGGAAGAGTAAGAGAGAAAAAGACATGTATAAAATGGAACACAGAACACAGACTCCTCCAATGGGAGAAAGCTTTGAATGCACATCTTAAGTTGAGATGTGGACCAGTCTACTTGGTGGAGATGGAGAATGGAGAATAAGTTTATATATACATATACATATTTGTTGTTGATGTTGTTCATAAAAAGATCAAAAGTTTTCATCTGTCTGCTTATAAGCAGGGATTCAAGAGTTTAATTTTGGGTATCCCGTGGCCCTGGGGAACCATCACCTACTCTGGCCTTGAGTTGTGAACAGGCTATATTTCTCCTTTGGAAAGCCATGTTTTCTGTGAAACAAACATTTCAGGCAAACCTCCGATGTGACCATGTGATACTGCACAATTGGTAGGAGCCTCCAAACACTGAAAATGTAGCAGAATGAGATATCATCCTTCATTGTGTCAGCCTTAGACCCTTGAAATGGTTGTTCTCATGGGACCAAGACTATCCTACTGACTAGGTACTGTTATTTAAAGAAAAAGGGAAACATACATTTAGACAAGAATTGGGAACCATTTTGTCTAAGTGGGCTACATAAACCACAAATCATGTGGTTTGGCCCAGATACATGGAAGGCCAGACATGTATAATTTCTCTTGGCAGCCTAGGACCAGTCTGCCTGTATTCTCTGGCCCACGAATGATTATAAATGTCTCAAATATAAATATCTCAATTGTCTTTGGAAGAAAAAATATTCTCCACCCCTAGTTTAGACAGTCTCACATGAGCAGAGACCTTTAATGTGACATGGGGACATATGGGATGCCTGAGATGACTCGTTGGCTGCTATTTCTGCTGGACACATTATTGTTTCACATTTCATTTCTATTGATCAGCACCAATTGAGCTATAAATTTAATCATTTTGTCTGGTGGATAGTGATTCTGTCCAGAAGGATCATCTCTTTTTATAGTTAACTCAATAGTGCAGCAGACTAATGTCATGTTAAATATGGACCTGCTGTGCTTGAAAAGAAAAAGGCACTTCCAGACACTATACTGGATAGTAGTGATGTGTTTGTGATGATCTGACTGTGCATATCACTCCAGGGACCAGGAGCTGCACAGAACCAGGCTCACTTGCCTGCAGCCATCAGCAAGTTTGCTGCCTGGAAGCCACGGCCTGACTTAATGCACACAGGGAGAGGCAGACAGTAGTTTTGGGAGAAACTGCTCTCCTGGTATGCCCATGTTCTTCACAGAAATGAGTGTCTCACATGCAAGGAGCAATCCCCCAGTCTCCTAGAGACTAAGGAAGAGGTTGAGGATGAAGTTGGACAAATTTTCTCAAATGGGAACTTGATTGCCACCCCAGCCCCTCTCCCCTCCCCATCCCCATAACAGAAGCAACCAGAGTACGACAAAGGAGGAAGTGCAGTTCACAGAAGCTAAAGAAAGTTCTTGTGGCTTTGAGTCCACTAGGAATAGCACCCCTAAAGAAGGGAAGTGTGTACCTGCAGATCCACAATAAAGAAGGATGGAGAGCTGTGCACAGATTTTTGGAGTCCCTCATGCTATATTCCAAGGTAAGGATGGAGAATGTACTGTGTGCAATGAATTCACAAGAAGCACACAATCCAGGAAGGACAGGCAACCTCCCCAAATGGAAACGTGAATGAGATTCTCCTCCTCCCCATCCCCCACGCCCCCAATAATGTCTTCCTCTGGCCCTTAATTCCAGACTAAGGCAGACAACTGGGGAATGATGACAAGATGATTTATTTCAAGTTAGGAAGAATGCATCAGACATGACCTGGGAACTTTGGCTCCAGAAAGTGAATACTACACAGTCTGTTCAAAAGGACTATGAAATTGGGGTCCTGCTCACACACCAACCAAAATAAGGTCAGGGAAGTAGGAGTGGAGAAAAAGAGAAGGCAGAGCAAAGTTGCCTCTGCTGAATGAGAACAGACAAAGGAGATAAAGAGAGTTATCCATTGGGGAGACAGAATCTCAACTCTAACACTGATGGGGAACTTGCATCCACCCATTGTAATAGGACATTCCTGGCTGATACTGCCCAATGTTGCCAAACCTCTTGGGTCCTTTTATCAGCATTGCTATATTCAGACTTGGAAATTCTCTGCATTTTATGGAAAGTGATGTGCCCAGAGGTCATTGCAGTCTTAGTCTCATACCATCTCTGTTCCACATCCTAGTTACTATTCTTCCTCAAATAGACTGTTGCCTGCCTAATCTAGGGCATTTCTTGGGTGGACTATGGCAGAGTCAATGAGCTTCCAGGGTTGTGGCTACGGGGCTTTAAATGCTGGTGCTCAAGTGTATAATTCTCAATGATTCTTGCACAGTATCACTGGGTGAGACCTCCAAACCAAAAACAAGAATAGAAGAATCACTTTGCTGTTCTTTTTAAAATTTTTATTAGTGAAAGACCATGAGGTACAGTTGTAGACTTATAAATTTTTGTGCTTGGGTTTCAGTGATACAATGATTGAATACCCATTCCTCCACCAGTGCCCATTCTCCTCCACCACTGATCCCAGTATCCCTCCCACCCCCACCACCCCTATCCCACCCTGCCTCTGTGGCAGGGCATTCCCTTTTGTTCTCTCTCTCCTTTTGGGTGCTGTGGTTTGCAAAAGAGGCATTGAGTAGCAATCATGTTCGGTCTATAGTCTACCATCCTGGGAGGATCCTCCCAACACCCTTTATTTGGTGCTCCCTTCTTTATCTGTGCTGCCTTTTCCCCTAGCATGTGTGGCTGGCCTCAAAGCCATAGAGTAAACCTCCTGGTACTTATCTTGGCTATTCTTGGGTGTTTTGTTACTTTATGTTCCCCAGATAAATGCAATCTTTCTATGTCTGTCCCTCTCTTTCTGACTCATTTCGCTTAGCATGATACTTTCCATGTAATACCACTTGTATATAAATTTCATGACTTCATCCCTTCTAACAGCTACATAGTACTCCATTGTGTAGAAGTTCCATAGTTTCTTTAACCAGTCATCTGTTCTCGGGCACTCAGGTTTTTTCCAGATTCTAGCTATTGTAAAGAGTGCTGCAATGAACACAAGTGCAGACGTCACTTCAACTGTATTTTTTTGCCTCTCTGGCATATATTCCCAGGAGTGGTGGCATTTCTAGCTCAAATGGGAGCTCAAATTTCTAATTTTTTGAGAGTCGTCCATACTGTTTTCCAGAAGGGCTGAACCAGTCGGCATTCCAACCAACAATGAAGGAGGGTCACTTTCTCGCCACATCCACGCCAACACCAGTTGCTTTTGTTCTTTTGGATGTGGGCCAGTCTCTGTGGTGTGAAATGATATCTCATTGTTGTTTTGATCTGCATCTCCCTGATGATTAATGATGTAGAGCATTTTCTCATGTGTCTTTTAGCCATTCGGATTTCTTCTTTGAGAAAGTTTCTGTTCATTTCATTGCCCCATTTTTTGATGGGGTTGGATGTTTTCTTCTTGTGGAGTTCAACCAGTTCTTTGTACATCCTTGATATCAAGCCCTTGTCAGATGTGTATCGGGAAAATTTCCTTTCCCATTCTGTCGACCATCTTTGTATTTTGGTCAGTGTTTCTTTTGTGGTGCAGAAGCTTAGAAGAATCACTTTGGCACTAACACACTAGAATCACTTTCCCCACACTAGTCATTTACTCTGTAGCTCAGAAATTCCACTCCTAAGTGGCAAAAAGTCTTGCTCCAGGAAAAATATAAAAATGTTAATGATATCTCTATTCATATAATCTTGAAACATTTTACACAAATAGGAGAATGAGTATTCTCATGAAAAGATATTATATTGAAGTAAAAATAGTTTAACTATATCTTAGCTATCTATTAATTGTAAATTTGAAAAGTTTCCTTACACTGCTATCTTTTTTATAGTGCTAAAACCTACTAAAATCTAATTAATAGAGGGAGGAATGGACAGCTAGACAGACTCATTTAAAATTATAGGTGAGGAAAAAACTAAGTAGCATGGGAGGCTCCTGAATGGGCTGTATATGACTTATTCTTTGCATTTAGTGCCTTCAGTTTTAATCCAATATTGTCTGTGTGCACTTTTGTGAGTGACCTTGGATCACTGAGTCAGGAGTAGTGACAGCACCGCTGAGTGTAGCCCCCAA